TAGAGGGACAGATGATGAAGTCTTTTAATCACAATCAGAGCCCTTTGCGTCACTAATATGAGAGTATTTAGCTGCACATTCTAATCTGTTATCTCAAATGTTTCCACAATATAAAACCCTATATTGCAAAAAGCTATGCACTTTTTAAATACCAGCAAATCTGCAACATTGATTAGATTTAATAATCCTTGCATTTTATATAGCACCTTATCATGTTGTCAAAATGGCCTCAAAGTGCTTTGATGAATTTTCCTGTAAAATGTAGTGACTGTAGTTTGTAGGTGAACACAGCAGACAATCTCCAATAAGACAGTGCTCCCCGTTGACCTCATTGGAATGAAAGTCTAGACAAAGTCCCAAAGTGGAACCCAGAAAATTCTGACTCAGATATGAGAGTACTACCAATTGAGCCACCTAAATATTCACCTGGCTCATTTTCTAAAGGAGCAGTTGAAGAAAACCCATGGAGGAATCTATCCATTCCAAGACCATACGGTACTTGTTTTTTTAAATAATAAGAGTACAATAGCAACTCCTGGGATGCTGACAATCACTGGGCTCCCTTGACGTGTCCATCCTTATCATCGTCAAGGACTTCCGCCCATACTAAAGTGAAATCAACCCCCATAAACAGCAGTTACAGGAACATGGAACGGGTAGTTTATACATTAGCTGCACGACACTTGCACTGAGTTAGGCTGACTCAGAGATGGGACTGCCATGACCAGAGGTCATAGTATCATATTGATACTCTCTAAGGTAAGAAAAAAAAGTGTGTCTCCCATAATCGAACAAAAAAAGTGTAGAAGAAAACTTTAATTTTGCCAATAGCGCTCACTCCTTTCAAAGACTATGGTCTACTCTAAATTCTACCTTCATCTAATTTCTTCAGAAAAAAGCCTCTGTCTGAATACTCGCTAATCTGCAAAAGTGCAGATTAGGCACTAATCAGACAGAGTATTCAAACAAAAACTGCAGAATATCTATCCATTCCCCCATATCTGCTGTTCAACATCAGACTGCTTTTACTCCAGTCAATCTTGCCTACCCTTCCACAGACAAGGAACTGAGTGTGCAAACCGAGCTCACCATTGATGGAAGCTTTCAATATGTGTGTGGGGAAGGGAGTGGAAATATGCTTATGGCTCCCTAACATATTCATTGGGCATTAGCCGTACCACCAATGTCTCAAAGCGCTTCATATTATTTTACTATGGTGTAGTGACCTATTTAGCAGCAACCAATTTTGGCAGCAACAGTGTCCCACAAACAGCCACAAACTGAAATGCCTTCCAAGTGGTTAAAGAAAAAGAATGAAGTGCAGAAATAAGGAATCTGAATTATTATTATTTGTTCCCCCCCCCCCACACTTTCAGAGTGCAAATGTGACTGAGTAGAATCTGAAGGTTTCCTACTCACCCCATTTACTGCCCTTATAATAATAATAATAATCCTTGCATTTGATATAGCGCTTTTCACGTCGGGAGGACATCCCAAAGCGCTTCACAGAACACACTGTAAAGTGAATTGACTGTATATTTGTGGGCGAACGCGGCAGCCAATTGCGCACAGCAATGTCCCACAAACAGTCGTGGATTGAAAATGACCAATTTATTATTGTTTTTGGTTTTGGAGGGATTATTATTAGGCTCTGTGTGGAGTAAGGAAACGTGCCCAAGGTTTCGCCCTCTGCCTGGAATTGAACTCAGGTCTCTCACTTGCAAAGCGAGTGCTCTAACCACTGAGCCACAGGACTCCACAACCACTGAGAGCCACAGGACTTCCCCGCAAAGCGAAGTGCGAGACAAAGAAACGGACAGTCACAATACGAAGACAAACCTGACAGAACGAGACACCAACTTCCACAGCCTCTGGTGTCGGTAAAGTGCGGTCTCCAGAGCCCTTTAGAAAAGTCGGCGGCGAACACAGAGGGAGGAAGGGGGGGAGACGCGGGGCTGCGGGGGACTGGTTCGCAGGAGGGCTTTTTCTGCGGAGTGAAGGGCTGCACAAAAAGGGGGGGGTTTGGGATCCAGAGAGAGCAGAGACATACCCCACCACAGTCCCCCATCCCCTCCTAATTACAAGCCACATCCGCATCCCATCGCCGCCCCCCATCAAACTTCCACCTTAGTTCGGCGGGTGGGGGTCGGGATTTGCGGACAAAGGGTCTGGAGGGGATGCGGGACTCGGGTATTTTCACGCAAACAGCCCCCGAGCGCACACCAAGAGGCTGTTTGGTGGAAGATTTGGCCTTTGAGAGCGTCTCCCTCTCTCCGGCCAGAGAGCAGCAAAAGCCTCGCCACAGCCACCGGTGTCAGTTGAACAAAAGGAGAGCCTTAACCTCGTCCGACCAGTCGTGTTGTGTGTGTGTGTGTGTGTGTGTGTTGTGTGTGTGTTTGGGGGATCATTACCATCGACATCGGTGCTTAAATCTGCACTGAGCACAGGGCAACTCATTTCAGGTCGGAGGCATTAATAATTTGATATAAGCACTGGCCATCGTAGTCACCACTCGAGCTCCTGCCACCACACCCCGTTCTTGGAGTACTTTGTGTGCTGATGCTGCAAAAGCTTCTCGCTGAGCAAACCAAGCAATAGGGGGGAATAATCCTGGCACCTGGGGAGGGGGGTGGGGAGGGGAGGGGTAGGGGTGGGGGTGGGGTCTGATACACACAGCTCTACAGGAGTACGCCAGACAGACACAAACGCGAACTCAAATCAGAGAGGGAAAGAAATGGTGGGAGAAACCGAGGAAGAGACGGTCAGACGCAAACAGAGATCGAAGTGCACTCAGCAGCTCAATCAGAGCAGTTAGTGCACTCGTACAGACCAGATCATTGGCACCGCAAACTCTGACTGTCACACTCACCCACACAATGTGTCCAGGTGGGAATACAACGCTTTCAGTCGGTGAAACCACCCAGAATTGTGCCAGTGGAGAAACAATAAGCTCCACTGAGATCACCCCCCCCCCCCCACCCCTCTACTAAACAGATATGCCTTCAAGTGTCGGAATAAATCCAGTGCTTAACGAATGAGCTCAAACCCTCCTTGCGCTGGGTGTCGTCAACCTGATGGCAAGCTTTACTTCTCATAGCGAGGGGGAAAGGGATGGGTCGGCAGTTAACGCTGATCTGGGGAGTTTTTAATCTGAGAAAACGCAAACGAGCATTATAAACATTCACACGAATAGGAGAGCACCACACGTTTAAAGGGACTTAACGAGACCCGTGGAGATTAAGACGGGGTCTCTTTGATGCCTACTTACCTGAGTCACTGATAGATCGTTAATCTGCTACCCTGCAGATGGCAGCCTCCCACTTGGGAGCACACACGCAGTGCAACATGAGGTTTAAAATCTCACATCCAACACGGGTATGAAGCAGGACTCCTCACGATCAGCATTCCTTTCTCTGGGATATTTTGCTAATAGGACGCCAGATCGATCATGAGCGCAGGGCAAGTCTTGATAGACACCAGTTAATGAGGACACCGAGTCTATCGAGTCCCAACAATGGACAGACGAAGTAACTGAACGGATCAGCAAAACATTTTTAATCGTACAATGTGAAAGAACTGAGGCTGGAGGCAGTATTTACATCCCAAAAGCAGTTTTACCGATAGAAAAAATGTCATTTGGGGTTATTAAAGGTTAAGGTTATTTCATGCCAATATTTATTGACACAAGAAGAAATAAAATAGGGTCGATTAAGTCGTTTAGACTTGTATTAAAACTGTCCCTTCCTTAAAAGTATAGATGGTTTACTTACACCGCGGATTCGGCATTGGATTTAAGTCGGGAGTGTTGGAACCTGCACATGCGTTCTCAAAGAAAAGCAACTCAAATGCTGTCATCATTGGGAACACAAAGAGTTTGTTAACGAGGACGCTGTCTAGACTGTAGAATCCATTGGCAAATGAAACTCAAAGTGTGAGAGTATTTACTTACTGTATTCAGTCTATGCCCTGCCATGCTAAATACATGAACCTGTGCGTGCAATTCAACTGCACTGGTAGACAAACGTCAGATTAAGAGAGGGTGTAGCGGTGGCTTGAACATTGGTACAGTACCTTGTGAAGTCACCCACGTTCCTGGTATCGGCGCTGTGCAGCCGTGTCCTGCTGCACTTGTACAATTGGCGAGAGGCACACAAACCCCCTTCGACTGAAGCCAACCAGTCTGGTTTCTTTCCTATGATTAGCCAGTCTTTGGTTGCTTTTATTGTGGCTGGATTTCCTCTCTGAGATTGCCAGTTCCTTGTATAGGCACTGTATTCTCTGATTGACTGGAGCAATGGGTGGTGAAACCAACCAATCCCTGATTGCATTTGCTGATGCCTAATGCATCCAGTGGCTGGAATATTTTCTGTGGCTGAAGGCGGCCAGTGCAATCTGCGTGAATTCACTGTGGCTCAGTGCAGTCAGTGACTGATCTATTTAGTTGTCCATGTAGAGGTGCTGCCTGCCCAGCTCGCAGCCTGAGCATCTGCTCTGTGCCTTTCTCCCTCTCCAGCTGCAGCACCACCTCACAACTGAACAGCTCCACTCCGTGACGTCACCACCGCCGCCCCATCACAACAGGCGAGCCCCGTAATCCTCAGTGCGCCTGCGCCCTATCCCTGAGCATTGTGGGGGTCGTAGTCACGCGAACCGTGGACTCCACTTCCCACGAGGCAAGGCACAAACGAGGCTCTTTAAACGACAATATACTGTAGCAAGGGGTAACCAAACGGACTCGAGTATGTGAGAAGGAAGCAATGAGTGAAGGGCCGGGCGTAACATTCAGCGCCGGAGTTCCTTTCTGGTAAATTTTGAGCGGTTTGCGTCGAGGCAACCGGTCACGCTTCCCGGGTGGACATTTCAGCGCGCCAGCGACTGCGCAACCGCGAGCGGTGCTTTCTGGGGATTGCAGTCCACGCGCGCGCGCGCGCCCGCCCGCCTCTCCCTCCCTCCCTCGCTGCAGCGTCCGCCCAACCGCGCGCCAGCGCCTGGTTGCCATGGCGACGGCGCCAGGGTAAAGATGGCCGCCGACGGCGTCAAACCGCGCTTAGCACCGGAGCAGTTCAGCGGCCCGGCCCGACCCAGACACCCCGGGGAGCAGCAGCGCGTGTTCACCGCAGTGCCCTTTATTGTAGACTTCCACAGGTTGCTTCACCTCAAAAACGCAGCCAAATTCATAACAGGGGTAAGAGAGGCGACTCACAGCTCTGCTCTCGTTGCCTCACGGAGGCAAACTGCAGAGTAACTGACGTTCAGTTCGGGCCCGGGGGCGGGGGGGCGGGGGCCCGGGGGCGGGGGGAGGAATTGTTATCCCGGTACAAACTGACGTGGAGAAAACGGAAATGAAATCTGAATATAATGGTTCCCTTCCTTTACTTAATGAATAATAATAATAATAATAATAACGCGACCTCCTCGCTCCCCAATCCATCACCCCGGCGCCTCTGCTCGACTGGCCCCGGCCCCCGGCCCCCGCGGCCTGTCCCTCGGCCCCCTCCTCCGCCCCCACCGTCGGAGGTCGCGCTTTCAGCCACTTACACCCCCGAAACTCTGCAACACTCTCCTTTCAATCCCTCCGCTTTGTCTCCTCTCTTCCCCTTTTTCAAGAGCTGCCTGAAAACCTTCCTTTTGGACCGTGCTTCTGGTTACCCTCCACCCCACACCCCCACACTCCGGCTCGGGGTCAAACGCCGCCACTGTGAAGCGGCTCCAAGATGCCACCAGGCATGGAGGACGCTATATATAAGTGCAAGTTATTGTTGCTGCTGTTACGGCTTTGATTAGAGCCATTTGCTACCACTCAATTCTCAGAACTGACTTAGTTTTTATATGTGTGTGCTTGTCGAGGTAAGGGATATCCTCCTCGTGGAACAGAATATGTTTAAACTTTGGACACCCTGCGTGGTCAAGGTCTTCTCACCTGTGGTACCGACTTCCTTAAGGTTACCCCTCGGACTTAATGAACCTGTGTACAACCTAGAAATCGAGTGGATTTGATCCCGGTTATCCTTTCTACCCCACATCCGGTTTCTAGCTAGGACTGCTTTCCTCCACCTCTGCCACATCTCCCATCTCTGACCATACCTTACACCTAACGGTTAAAATACTTATCCATACATTTGTCACCTCTGCTTTGATTTTTCCAAAGCCCTCCTCACCAGTCTCCCCAGGTACACCTCTCATAAGATCAAATGAATTAAAAACTCTGTCACCTGTATTCTCACTGGTACTAGACTCTGAACCCCCATCACCGAGTCCTTGCCAGGCTCCACTGGCTGTCCATTGCAGAATGGATCAACTTCAAGATCCTCACACTCACTTCATGGCACCTCCCTACCTCTCTGATCTGCTTACATACCACTCCTCAGTTTCAGACTGATAGTTACAATGGGCTACAGATATCTAAAAAGATAACATCTCAGTGTTCCATACATAAACCTTCAAATGGTGACTGGAAGTTTACTATTTCACTAATATATTTCAATAATATATTGTGGAGTCCTGTAGCTCAGTGGTTACAGCGCTCGCTTTGCAAGCGAGAGACCTGAGTTCAATTCCAGGCAGGGCGAGACCTTGGGCAAGTTTCCTTACTCCACACAGAGCCTAATATTAATCCCTCCAAAACCAAAAACAATAATAATAATTAGTCATTTTCAATCTACGACTGTTTGTGGGACATTGCTGTGCGCAATTGGCTGCCGCGTTCGCCCACAAATATACAGTCAATTCACTTTACAGTGTGTTCTGTGAAGCGCTTTGGGACGTCCTCCCGACGTGAAAAGCACTATATCAAATGCAAGGATTATTATTATTATTATATTATATTTAGGGACTCGATGGTGAGATTGCATTTTAAAAATGATGTGGGTTACAGCATGGCATTGGCTGGAGAATAATGGGTAAGTAATAGCAATTACAAGGAATCTAATCAAGGAATTCAGATTGTTGTAATCTGCAAGAGAAAAGCTTGAAGTCATTTGAACCCCTGAAAATGACTTAAAATAACTTCTGTAAGATGGTTACTTGTAATAACATATACTGTTAATCTTACATTTGGTTTTGTTCAATTTTGAAGCTACATATAGTTTTTTCTGAAGGTCAGCAATGCCTGATATGTGATGACATTCATATGGGATTGATGGCTTGATGTAATTACTGCAAGTTTATCAATAATTCTTTTCCAATGCTGTATATATTACATGAGGTACACATGTAGCCTGGTTTGTACATTAGAATCATATAGAATCACAGAACATTACAGCACAGGAGGCCATTTGGCCCATCATGCCTGTGCAGGCTCTTTGGAAGAGCTACCCAATCAGTCCCACTCCGTTGCTCTTTTCCCATATCCTTGCAATTTTTTCCTTTTCCTAGTACTTATCTAATTACCTTTTGAAAGTTGCTCTTGAATCTGTATCCACCACCCTTTCAGGCAGTACATTCCAGACCGTAACAACTCTGATAACACATTGATAACACTTTTCCATGAAGTCACACGTTGTAAGTTTTGGTCCATTTTATTTTGTACATGGTGAATTATTGATCTGATCCAAAGGAGATGAGTGGAGCTCAAGCACTTTCCAGGGAGAGATGGGAAATCAGAAAACAGATCTAAGAACAAATTAACACACACATTATGTTCTGATGTTTGAATCCATGCTGTTTTGGAGAGATTCTAGGTCACATGCAGGTTATGCTTTAAATGGCTTCCTGCCAAATCAATGGAAGCTAATGTTGAAATTATGAAAATGTTTTTGCAAAATCTCAATTTATTTGACTTTCAGGCTATGGGCTTCTGTGAAAATGTTGCTTCTTATAGTATCCTTCACTCTCCTATTCATTGTAACTGTTCTTTTCCTGACTAGGCAAAGGGCTCCTGTATTTTGTTATGCTAACTGTTCATAACAACATTGGGGAAGCTCTCGTATTCCATCCAAATCAAACACAGTGCTGTTGCATAGTGGTCCAATGGCATTAAATCTGTTTAATTTGGTGAGGACCTGAGAATTAATAAATTTGATTTTGTTTGATAGGCAGTTGAAAAGTTCATTGGTCATACAACAATCACAACAAATTGCATTTATATCGCACCTTTCACATGGGGAGGACATCTCAAGGTACTGGACATTTGACAGTTTGCAACTGAGATTGGAGGAATGATAAAAGCACTGAAGTAATAAAATGAGGTGAGGGAAAGAAAGGCGCTATATAAAAGTAATTTATTGTTGCTAGGTCACAGGCAGGTGATGGGGATGTCAGAATGAACTTACTAAGCGCCAACACTATAGAAACTGATTGATTGCATACTTGCTGGTTGGAACAGCCTTCCAAAATAATGACAGCCACAACAACAACCTGCATTTATGTAGCACCGTTCATGTGAAGCAGTGTCTTGGAATGATTAAAAGTGGCAGAGCCCAGCACCGAGCCAGGGGTGCTTGGCATCGACTGAGCAGAGATAGGAAATTAAAACAGAAAGGTAAGAGTTAAAGGAGAGAAACAATGAAGAAAAATTTGATGAGCTTTGAAAGCCAATTCAGGACACTAGAATATCTTTGTACCCTGCAAAGGGTTTAATAGAAGAAATTTCAATCCTAGATCTTCCACATTTAATATAGGTAACTCGTATAATTCTTTGAAGCTTTTGTTTGTTCACCAGGACAAGCGTCTAGCACTATATGGTCAGTGAATTTATATTCTTGCAGTACAATTTTTTTTGAGGTTTCGAAAAGTTTAGACAGCCTGTAATTGGATGGGTGAAGATCTTTCATGTGGTATGGTGTATGAAGCTAGAGGGTGGGGAGTGTATTACATCTGGTTTAAACATCTACTTATTCAAATCTTGCCAATTTTATCTCCTTATGGTACTAATGTTCTAGTACAAAATCATATGGCCCCAGCAGCCTTGCTCAAATAATAATTCTTTATGTGATCCCAAAAAATAAGAGGCAGGCTTGTTAATCATGGAAGGTATTACAGCTGGCCCCATACAAGACCTCAGGGAAACATCCTTGTTGCACATGTTCAATATCTCTGCCTAAAAGCCCATAGCTAAATATTTGTTTCCTCATTTCGGCAATCTGCAATTTTATTTTCCTCTTATTTCCTCTAATGCTCTTCAGTTACCTACAACTGGCTTTTATATGATGCTATCCTTATTGCTATTCTTTTAAGTGCTCCGAGCCACTACCCTGTGTGAAGGGCACAATATAAATGCAAGTTGTCGTTTTCTTGTAGGTTTTAAAAAAANGCTGCCTGATCTATAGATTCTGCAGTATGACTTTGGAGACTGCAATATTCATCCGACCTTAGTGTTTGAAAACATGGTGGGACTTAGCAAGAGGTTTTGCCAGGGACAACAATTATGTTCTGTTTATCCTATTTACAATATTAAATTTACCTCCATTTGTGTATTTCTTTTAAAGTAATAAATCTTTCATTTGATATAGCGCATTTCACGTCAGGAGGACATCTCAAAGCGCTTCACATTATACTGTAAAGTGTAATGACTGTATTTTGTAAGCAAACGTGGCAGCCAATTTGCACAGCAATGTTCCACAAAGTGGAATGGCAATTCCCATATAACAAATGTTTGGTAATTGAGTACTCGGCCAGTTTAGTACAGTATCTTGCAAATTCTATGTCTGTTTCATTAGTGCATAGTCTGAGACAGCTGATGTGGTTTTCAACAAAGCTAGTCTTTGTTCTGTAAACCTTTTGAGGCTGTAAAGACATCAGTAAAGGTAATAAATATTAAAGTAGGTCAGAGAGAATTCCATGGTGTAGGCTGAAAGGGATTCTTGCCTCCTGCAAAGTTTTCCTTGTTAGGCTGTTTCTTCTGTGAACTGTTTTGGTGAAGTAATGTCCATAGGTTGTCAGAACTGTTTAGCTGTCACTGCTCTTGTTGTGACACTCAGGTTTCCTCAGGGGACATCAGACTACGGGCTTTCTTACATACACTTCAGATTGCTTCCTGTTATTAATGACAGAATGATTCTGCCTGTCATCCTCTATAATAACATTGGCTTTGTTTGGGGCAGCTTAATGATCTGCCATTCGATCCAGTTCTGTTGACTGGTTGGTTATTTTATACTTGAATCACTTTCCTGCCAGTTTCTCTTTTCCTCTTCTCCCTCTAGACCATTTTAACAGGTTTTGTTTTAAACATAATTTAATCATTTGATA